TACATGGCATTGGAATCTCACATTCAAAGAGAAGATGAAAATGATGTTTGTTCCTGGCATGCCAAGCCTAAGTGGCACTTGGCTGAGCATATTTTTGATTTAGCCTGGGAAGGCCACAACCCTAAGGATTTCTGGAATTATAGGGATGAAACATTTGCATCCTCCATGCAGCAGTGGGCACTCAGAAGGGGTGGGAAGAGAAATGCAAGCAGTGAAGCAGAGAAAATCCTCCTTTGTTTCATGAATGACACACCCCCTCTGAGTGTCAACTTGCCCAGCTCAGCCTGAAGAAGGCCCAAATCCGATGTCCAGCTTCAGCCTGAAAGAAGGCCATGCAACCATAGGTACAATATGTTTCACCTTGTATCACCCAGTAGTGCCAAGGAAAAAGATGCACATGCTGATTTGCAGAAGCCACTTTGTGTAGCTTCTAGAGTTCAAAACCCAGAAGCCACTTTCCATGGCTGCCAGCCTAAAATCTTAGCTTCCACCAGAAGCTATTTTTAAAAGTGGCTTCTCGGATCCTTAGTGATGCTGTGTATTGCGAAAGGTGCGCAGGTCACCCGGCCCCGATGCAGCTCTGTTGAAGCGAGTTTCAAGCTCTCTCAAGGATCTTACAATCGATTGCAACGAGAGGAGGTGCGGCGAAGCCAGATTCCCATTGGCCTCCTGGGAAGCAGAGGCCTGTACCTTGACGAACTTCGGATGGGCACCACGACTCCGCGAACCCTTACCCCACACAGCACCATTGAGCACCAACAATTTAGCAGCGTATTCATTGTAGATAGCCCATTTTTGGTATCAGCATCGGCTGCCAGATCAAATTGCTGTGCATAGTGGTGCCAAAGCTGTTCACTGAAGGAATTAACCGGACAGCCAGGGTCGGTAGGGTCAGCATGTTGGATATTGTCCAAGTTCAAGACAGCTGGCCGCTGCATGATGGTGCCTGACTGCAAAAGTTTGTCCCACATGAAGGTTGCTTTAACCGGCCTATGCTGGCGGTCCTGGTGGTCGAGCGCTTCAATGTGAAGGAGTGCTGACAATGCGGTACGATTCATGAGGATGCCATCGATGGAGGACTGCCCATCACTGTTCCCAGTCGCAACACTCTGAAAGAAGGTGCTAGGACGAATCACATCACCATCGGTATCAGTTTGCAGAAGGGGGTCTGCCCAGCCCCAGTGGTCTAAAGCCAACTGCACCGCAGGGTAGTCATCTGAAAGTCACCTGCGACCACAATGGGCACGTCGCCAAATTGCGCTGCCACCTCAAGGATGGAGTTGAGGAGCTCATTGTTCCGGGCAAACTTAGCCCTTTCGGAGGCCGCATTGGCGACGGCGTAGAAGTTGAATGCAAGCAGTTTAACACCTTCAGCCACCTGGTGCCACGTAGCTGTGACCCGAGTTGTGGATCGAAGCACGGTCCATTGCCCAGATTGGTCTGCTTGATCATCAAAGAGTTGCGTGAACTCTTTCTGTCCCAGTGTGGCTGTGCCCCCTGAGGGGATTCTGTACGTACCGTTGCTTGCTCTGGTTTTTTGCAGCGGTTGGGAGCAAAAGAGTTGAAGGTGGCAGAGGGCAGCCTTCCGTTGAGATTCAACAAGGTTGGACTCGGCAACCCGAGCTTCTTGAAGTGCAAGCACATCAGCCTCCCAGTGGAGACAATTGTCATTCGTAGCAAGAGAGTCGATATTGGCTGAAATCACATCCCAACGCGGTCCCTCACCTGGATAGCCCAGTGTCATATCGAACTCATAAGTAGGGTCAACTGCACAGCACACAATCCAACACCACAAGCAAAGTCGAGGAGGCAGAGAAGGTGGAGACAAAATTGTCGAACCCTTGGCAAGGCCTGCTTCGATGGAATCATCACAATATTCCGAATTCGAACATCAACAGTCGGCGGAGAGGTCCCTTCCTTCACCAGGTGGTGGGAGTACGACATCGCCAAAGATGATATAACATGCAAGAAACTGACATCGCCACCTCTGCAGTGATGAAGAGCATCACCCCAAATACAGAAAAGGCGAAAGGCCCCGGAGGCCAAGAGACGGCGCATAGGAAAGCATTGCTCATACATACCCCTGCATGAGGCTGCATAGTGGGTGAGCCCACAGAGAAAAACCCATAGAAAAACCAGCGTCCAATGAGTAGCCCTCTGCCAACTGATCCGGAGAGGCAAATCAGCAAAAGACCACAAAACATTGAAAAAGCCAGCACTGTAGTACGCGATCTGCACAAAGATCAACCCCATAGGAAGGGGAGCATGGTCAAACACGGCCATACCCCCTTCTCTCCTATACCATTGTGTAGACGGAAGTCAGGCCGCCCGGTGGTGCTTGACCGGGGGCGGTGTGTCACCATGCTCACGGTGTCGTGGCTGCACGCATTGGAGAATCTGTCTCAACTGGTCTCCCACTTGCCCAAACTGGTGGTCAACCTTCTCGCTGAGGGTCTCGTGTTTCTGTTCAAGGCGGCCAACTTGCTCTTCGAGCCAATCAAAGCTCGGTATGAATCTCCTTGGAGACGAAACCCTTGCCAGCCCCACTGTCAGCGGACCCAACGCCACCTGCTTTCGCTTTCCCTTTGCCCTTGCCTTTCGGTGGGGCTCGGTAGGAAACTGGCGTGAGGAGGATCTCAAAGGTCTTCTCATTCACTCTTACAGAGAACTTTGAAACTGTGGGCACCTTCTCAAATGAGAGTGTCCAAGCACAGACACCTGCACGCCTGAAGGATCGTGTCGGGATGCAAGGAGCCTTCGTTGCCTGGTGAACGGCTGACACGATGTCTTTGGCAAGGATCTCGGATGGCCATCCCAGACTGTCCATGTTGACTTTGGGGACCATAGCTTTGTTGATAGGGCAAATCCTGTCATCCTGAGGCAGCAGGAGGTCACGGGCCGTTGCCAGCGCATCTGTGGCGTTTGGTGACTGCAATACCTCTGTACCCAGCAATAGTGGAGGCGGCCTTAATGAGGTCAGCTTTATTGGATCGGTCAATCGGCCAGAAACGTGGGATGATCGACAAGTCCTGCACTTGATCACCTTTTGCAACAAAGTCCCTGACTACAAGATCTCCATGACCACTGGCTGACAGCAGCGGGATACGATGCTTCTGCTGAACCTTCAAGAGGCACTGATGCACGAGGTCAGTCTTTTCTTTGTTGCGCTCCTGCACAGTCCGATAGCCGTAGATGGCTGCATGCCCCCAGATCGGGTCGGAGCATACCTCTTTGAGCTGTGCTTTGAATTTGGCCAAAGGGTTGTCATAGAAGGCATTGAAGACATCCTTGGTGACCAGCCTGGCATCACATTCCAGCACGATCTCACACACTGCGGCCAATGTCAACGTGATTGACGGTGTAGGTAACGCAAATTGGACATCGGGGGTGATTACCAGGAGGTGTACTTGCCGTTTGTACTCCTGGTTCATGGCCGGGTCAAAGACGATCACTTCAAAAGGTCCAGTGAGATTTGGCAGCTTGGCCAGTGGATCTGTTGGATCAATCATGGGCAGAAGCAGCAAGGCTCCTTGGGTGTAAGCTCCTTGGCCTGTTGGATGTTGCCTTTGGAGACAAACGCAATACCTCCACGGTTCATAGACAGCTGTTGCTTCTGGACAAAGGGAACAGGCGTCTTGTCCTTGGCCACGAAGGGGTGATCTGTCTGGAGTTGTAAGTCCTCCCATTTCCTTTGTTTAACTGCCTTCTTCTTGGCTTTCCATGGATCATCAATTTGTCACGGATCAACCGCTTGCATGGGGGAGTCAGTACTAGCTTGGCCCTCCATTCCTCCAAGCGACACAGCAGAGCACGGCTGAAGGCCATGAACTCCTCCGACGAGAAGGAAAAGCCTTCGAATGTTCTCAGCAAAAGTTCTCAGCATGGGTGGGGCCCCAACAGTTCTCCAAGCCTGATCAGACTCAGCAATCACCTGGTCAATAAGCTGTCTTTTCGGATTTGGAATGTGGAAAGCATCCGGAAGATGGAGGTCAACAATGATCCACCTGTGAAGAAGCTCCCATCCACACATTCCTGGTCTGGTACGGTTGGTGTCAATGATGATGATCGGTCGGAATCCAAATGGGACAATGTAGTCTATGGCAAAGTCGTGCCAGAACTGTTGGTTTCTTGGAGGAACCTGAAGGAAAACCGCCCGACATGTGTGCTCCTCTGCATTGCGCACCACTTCAACACCAATCCAGTGGCCCTCACGAAGGGCCACAAATCGCTGGACCTCTTCACAGGGAACTTTGACTCCTGCAGCGATCAGCGAGAGATCATGGTGCAGGACCGGAGGACAGAATGACTCAGGCATGAAGAAGCTCATGGCAAACTCAATCTCATCACTCGTGGCCCAACCTGGGTGAGTTCGGTAGATGTTGAGCCTCATCTCAAGCCATTCATCAGCAATGAAGAAGACCTCATGGATGTCATAGACGTGCAGTGGGCGGCCAGTGGCTCTACGCAAAAGGTCATCAGCACGACTTGGAGACTCCGTAATGGCCAGGAGAAAAGCATGTCTGCATGCGCGTGCAAATTGAACCATTCTATCTTCTGCCTGAGTTTCCCTCCAGACCAGGTCATAAAGCCTGCTTGCGACCTTTCCCCTTCGGTTCTCGTCGTCACCTTAGTATCCATGGCGATCCACGACCTGGTGAGGTCCTGGTCTGTGGACGCTCAACCCTCACACGTGCGGTGAGCGGCTGAGCCCCGGCCCTCGCGAGTGGGCGTGAGCTGCCCAGCTGTGAGCCGAAGCAGCTGGGGGGAGCTTCCTTGAAGAAGCGTGAGCTATCCTGCGTCCAATGTGTGTAGTAGCTACTTGAGCTACTAGCTACCGTTTGCTTCTACTAGCTACTTACCTTGCTACTACCTCCCTCTTCTCGGCCTACCCCCCCTCCCCGGGCTTATATAAACAAAAAAGGACTCTAATATGTATAATTTGGCTAGATCATCCACTGATAGGCGTTTGCTTGTGCAGAGCACAAAGACTCCTGTGAGAGGAAGTCGATGCATGCCGGCTGGCTCAAGCAGCTGCTCGCCCAGGATGTGGTCATGGAGCCATGGACCATGGACCGATGTCACGAAGGTGTAATCACTTGGCCAAAAGGCTAAAAGGTCTCATGGCTGTGTAACTGACATCACTTTGGAAGGAATACATGAATTTACCAGCGTCAGAGACTGAGGTCAAAATGGCACAGTCCAAGGCGCCAGAAACAATGACGCAAACCGATAGAAGACCCTCGGACAGTCGGGAGAAAGTGGGAAACGTCAGATGTTGGTAGCGATGCCCTTTGTTATTAGTAGCTTCTTGCTCCTAGTAGTAAGGCCATGTCCTAGGCCATGGTTTTTTTGGGATTTTAGATTTTGTAATTACGCGACCCCAACAGGTCTACCAGCAAGATACGGGGTATATGGCTGCTTAGCTTTTCAAGAACTGGCCTAGCAGGCCAACCTGAAGTCCCTCAACCTCACGCTTCGTGAAGAGGCCGGCTGTTTGCGTTTGGCCAGTTTTTGTACCAGCTGCTTCCACGTGTTTGCATGCCTGGAGGTTGAGAAAGCACGCCAGGAGATAAAGTGTTTGGAGGAGCAGGTCTGTTGGGAGTTGAAGGGTGATGTGAAGGTTCATGCAGATTGACAAGTGGCTGCCGGAAAAGCAGTTTCGGCAAAGCAATGCTAAGCAATTTGCATGAGGCATGAGTTTAGAGGTGCATCGATGTCCATGAGTCTCTTGACATGAGCCTTTTAACCATCGGTGTTTTTGATGCAGACTCTTTGATCGGGCTCCTGTGGGCATTGCAAACTGTGCAAACTACAGAACGCTGCCAGAACACGAGCACACAACTCGAGCGCAGAAAAATCCATTCATCGCCACCGTGCAGTCGGCACGCTGTATGCAGGGCCCTCCGAGCCTTCGGTTTGCCGAAGGTCACCATCCAAAGCTTTCAGTTATTGCAAGTCCTCCGAGCTTTCTGAATGTCGTAGGCCACTGCCCGAAGCACACTTTCCCTCCACGTTTTTTGTTATGAAGGTTCTCGTAAAAAGCTCGAACGTTACTCCAAAGGTTGTGTGAACTTGGATTTTTCTCGTCGCCGCCACATGTCGCCGCAAGGGAATGCACGCTTGCATGCATCAAACTTTCAACACAGTTAACGCCACAATTTCTAGTCGCGCAGCCCAGCCGACACGCACACCTTTGTCAAAACGAACGTGTTTTGTGTTCCAGTGCTGCAGCAGCATTCTTTTTTGGCGTAGAAAATGAGCAACCCAAATCAACCTAGTGGATGGATTCTCTAAGTCTCATCGACACTAACATCCCATTCATAGCACATTCCTGTGGGTGTCACGGTTTGTGTCGCTCCAATATCCCATGTCCTGGTGGTGGGACAGATTGGATTGGACTATTGGACAGCCAAAAAGGACAGGAAGGAAGAAAGAAAGGCCTACAAGGGCATACAAAGAAGGAACGACAACATGAAAATTGCAGCTGACGCCTGATGCTTGCCAGGTGAAGCCCGCATAAGCATTGCTGGAAGTTCAAGGTCCCATGTTGGGTGAGAGGGTTTTCCGGCGCATTTGTTTGTGTTACTGCAATGTTTAATGAATGAATTCATGATGTTTATATATATATATATAACGGTTTTTTGAGACTCTCCATGACACCACTGAAGTGCAACAGCTTTCATTCCATCGTTGGTTGCTTCCCAATGTTAGATTTCACCTTCGTGCGGCGATTGTGACACCCCTGTGACAGCATCCAGGTTGGCTGGGCTTTTTCAGCCACAGAGTGTCACCAGAATATGTCGTTCTCAGCTTCTGCTGAAAGAATCCGGTCAAAGCGGTGGAAGAAAACAATCACACAACAAGAATAACATGTGCGTTTTGACTCGAGAATGCTCCTTGAACGACAAGAACTTTTGGCAATGGTTCTTACTGCTTCCACCACTACCCGAAGTCTCACACATCTGCAGGCTTTGGCAAAGCCAACACCTGTCAACTACCAACTACCAAGGTCGAACCTCCAGTTTGGTTGTGACATAGATCATAGATATGACATGGATCCTTAAACATTCATTGCTTGCTTGTGTCCAGCTGGAGCTCCACATGAGGAGCTCCACTCGAGGTTCTCATTTATTTGCTGCCTCACTGGTGGAAGTTAAGGCTTCCACTGAGTTTAGTAGCTGTGATTTATTGGGTGAGTAGCTACTCAAGGTGCTCAAGCATTTCACGAGCTTAATGTCGCTTGGTGCACGCACTTTTCGGATGTGGTGACTTCGCTGCCCTAAACTGCCAGCCGACATGAGATGATCTCATGAGATCCATTGTCATGCCCATTTACAGTACCCAAGACGTCCATGCCAGTCAAGCTACTTTGACCACAATCTGGCGAGGTCGGAGTGTTTGGTCAAATATGTTTAGTTCCATGTATCCAGTTTATCGCATATCAACCAGATCTCTTGTCTACTATGACCCTCGGAACGTCAAGACTTGGAACATATTTGCCTGCAGTGGATCGCAGCCAAGCCCATGTCTCATGCCATGTTGCAGGAATCATATATACCATTTGATATCAAGCTCATCTCGACACCATAAAGTCCTTAAAGAGGCAGTGATATTGTAGACATGAAGCCGCCTTCTCAAGAAGAGTGAATCCACCACGCATAAGCAACCGGGTCTGTGCAAAACAAGCCCGCGATGCTTCGCGCTACCCTGGCTTTGTCTTCCCAGCATGTTTGCAAGTGCCTTTTTGAGACAGGTTTGTGCAACCTTGTGTTTCTGTGCAGACAAGTCGTCATACCAAATCTATCCAAACTTTGGAAGAGTTGAAGAGTCGCGTTCCGTTGATAGAATATTAACTATTTTAGATGAACAGCTGGACCTGATGTGACATCACACATGCCAGGGTTTGCTGCGCTTGCTGCTTTCTGCCCAGCTGGGCAGTTCGGAGCCCGGTGCGCTGAGTATCTTCAGCATATTCATGCATATTCAGCATGTTGCACGGGGATGCATGGGGCTTTGCTCTCGCTAGAAGAAGAAAGAAGAAAAAGGAAGAAGAAGGAAAACACATAATAATGATAATAATAATAACAATAAGTGTTTTGGCCAAAACTGTTTGAGCCACCTCCATGATTGCCGTTTTGTGCATTCATTTGGTCAACATGGGCATGCGAGAAGAATGGACATCATGGAGGCAAAAGCAAATCAAAGCAAGACCGAGTTCAAGCTTCAAGACGAACTGCAAGTTCGGAATCTAATAAAACACAGAGGTCTTTTGCAAGCAGCTCAGAGAGGAGGCTTCTTAGGTAGAGATAGAGGTCCGTCCGTCCATTGAGAACCCCAAAATTGATCTACCATCATTACCATCGTGCCTGTGTTGCTCGAGGACTCGTTTCTGGAGTTTCATAGTGCAGATGGAGAGCGGGAGCTCATTCCAGTCCATGCCTGAGAAGCGTAGTGAGTGGATTGACACTGCCTCAGTTCAAGCAAGATCCATTCCGGAGCGCATTGCTCAAGAAACGTCCAAGAAACACATGGGCTTATTATCATAAATCATTGTATATTCCTTCACTCTCTCACCAAAGTTTTTCTCATGATCACATCAATTCGGGGGTCCAGGCGCCATGGATACACGTGAGACATTGAATTGGAGTTTCAGACCGACCCAGTCATGGGACCCATTTGCCCGTGCCTTGGTCGAGAAAAGAGCTGAGATGTTAAGGATCGTATTAAAGAGGCCTTCCAGAAGGCCGGCATGGCTCTTCTCAAGCATCTGCATAAGCAAGAGAACGTGGATGACGGGGAGTGCGTCCTGTCCTCCGGCATCGGCGTGTGCGCCTGTCTAGCCATTCGGGATGGGCTGCGGCTGACAGTGGCTAACCTGGGCGACTGCCGTGCCTTGGGCTGCCGGAAGGGGGCATTGGAGATCCTGACGCAAGACCACAAGCCAGGCGAGTAGCGTCTTTTATTGAACTATAGAATACTATTGGCTTTAGACTATACTGTAACTCACCAAGTGTGTGATACATTATGTGTGGCAAAGGCTCACGAAGCCTCTGGCGTAGGCTCTTGGATTTCACACAGGTTGCGAAGCTAATTCGCGAAGCCACCCGTACAGGCACTTTATGATCAAGAAGCACAGTCCAGGCGAGACTGGCAAACAGGCCCGCTTGGCGATCGAAGGCGTGTGCGATAGCTATCTTGAGGGTGGCCTACTGGAAGAAGGGCCCAAGTGTCTCTTGGGAGCCAGAGACGGCGGTGTTCTCTCTTCGGATGGAATATTCGATGGGGGCCTGACAAACCAGGAGGCTGTGCTGTCGATAAGGCGACAGCTGAAGAGAAGTCTTGCAAGTGCAAAGCATGCTTCACCGTGTTTCCAGCTAGGTTTCGGTTTTGTGTCCCCATGATGCCCATGGGCCATTTCAGACTAACTTAGTGGTGGTTGGGGCAATGGGGCGAATTCGCGTCTATGGTTCCCATCTGACAGCCGGAGTGCAGTCTCCCCACACCGCGGTGGAGACCCTGGTGCAGAAGGCAGACAAAATGAAGAGTATGGACAATTTGTCTGCAATCACTGCAATCGTCATAGTCTTCCACGTGCCCCCAGCAGAGACATCAAACTCGGCGCTGGGCGGAAGGTGGCCCTAAAGGCTAAAGGGGCTCAATGATCAGTACCAATTGGCAACTGCACTGGCACCTGCAACTGCAATGTTTGGTGCCTTGGTCGCCGTGTACTCTCAAATGTTGAAGTCGTGGCGACATTCAATTCTTGAAGCTTACTTGGGGATTTGAATCTATGGAAGTCGTGGCGATGTTGCGTTTAGTTGGTGAGAAGACAAGGCAGCAGCGGCAAACAAAACGACGATCAAGCAAAACGCTGACCGCACAGGCAAGCGAGTGGGGAGGCAGGTGGGGAAACAAGTAAGGAGACAAGGCAGCAGCGGCAGACAAAGCACCGATCACAGCAGACAAGCAGGGAGACAAGAAAGAAGGAAGGACAAAAAGAAACAAAGAAAGAAGGACAGGCGCGAGAGCAATATATATTATGAGGTAACTACAGTAGAGGTTTTCATTCTGAGGGCTTTCCTTGGTGGCACGGGATTTGACCTCGTTCACCCTCTCGTTCATCCTCGTTCCGATACCTCTATGCAACTTGCGTGATTCAAGTAAAGTGCCCAGAGCCTGGTCCAAAGAGATGTCAAGGGACCATAAGGAGATTAACATCATTGCTAAATCATTGCGGCTCCATGCCAGAAGCTTGTTGTGAACACATGAAAATTGTGCTTTGGATGGAACTTCAGAACACATCCAAAACATTGCCAAATCAGCGCGTTTACATGCGGGAACCTCGTTTTTGCACAGCATGGCTAAGTGACATTCTAAATGATTGCGTTTACATGCGGGAACCTGGTTTTAAATACATGAGAACTGTGTTGGGGAGAGCACACCAAAAACATTCAAAAATCATCGCGTTTACATGCGGGAACAACGTTTTTGCAAGGACTATGCCGGGACCCCCCTCTTGGCATCGCGTTTACATTGGGGAACGCAAATTTTTCCTAGTATGGCGTGACTTCCGCGGCTGAGTGTACTCTATACCTTGTATGTACATTGTGATGTAATACTGTAGCACATTATCTCCATACAAGAACCTTGTACACTTGAACGGCCACATGTTGCAAAAAAAATTGCAGTTGCCTGGGCTGCAATTGGACTGACCCTGATCCAAGTTCCCCCTCAAGGTGTTTGGGCATGTTTCCTGGCAGTGTCCGTGCTGTTGTGGACAGCTACAGTATATCTTTAAGACGACAATCTTACAATTGCTTCAGAGATCCTCTGCATTTCCCCTACAAATAGGCCATCCCTGCCTTGTTTTCGACGATTTTGTTCAGAAAATATTGGTGTCAGTTTCGGCCACATCACACACAGACATGGCGAAGTCGGTTAGCCATCAAAAACAAAAAACCGCGAAAAACTAACTCTACTTTTTCGGCGACCATCCTACAGGTCCACCGGCCAGATGCATGTAGACTGATATCGTTCTCCTCATGCTGAAGGTTCCATGTCCCGAGGTGAGCCCACAGCATCCAGCACCTCTGTGCTTGCGGCAGTTCGAGCAGCCTCCATATTATGCTGGGCACCCAAGAGAAGAGCTAACTTGCAGTTTCGAGATCAGATAAGATGAGAACCTTTGTGGATGATGTTTTTTCGCTGGTGTGCGTGGGTGGGCTTTGGGCAGGTGGCAGGAACGTGTTTGTGTATGTATTTTTTTCTCCCAACGGTATACTACTGCCTTCTTTGGTGGTCGATGGCCAGTATTGAGCTGTAATTGGCAGGTTCGCTTGTTTTTCTAGATTCTAGATCCTAGATTCTAGACGTCCATCAAGCGCATGACTGTCCAAAGGTGGCGTTGGAAATTGAGTCCAGATGAGAGGAATTCATGTGAACCAGGTATGCCCGTGTTGAAAAGAACCTGCCGTTTGCTGAGGCTTGGCCAGTGATTCAGGCCTTGGACAGTCTTAGTGTTTTTACGGAAGTAGTCGCTTCTAGTATACTTGGTGATTTATATTAATATAGGTGGATTTGCTTGGTTTTTCCTCATTATTACCGAAGTTTCCAGTCGATCACAGCAAACCCCACTGTGGACGAGAAGGTACTTAAAAACGACATGTTGCTAAAACATGAGGACGATGAACTGAACTGCTGGAACATTTTTGCAAAAATGATTTTTCAGCTGAATTTCAGCTGTCCAGGTCTACCTGCTCTTGAGGCTGGACGGCAAGGAATCCAACTCGACATCGGTCTTGTCATGGATACCCTGGGTGGTCTGGGACCCATTGAAAAGGAGAAGCAGTTGGGGTCAGTTTAGGGGTTTTGAGTGGATTTGCAGAAAGATAAAGTAATGTAGTGATGACAGTATTTCATTCATAACATTGTACTGCGACACCTTCAAATTGCACTGACCTGACACTTCTTCCAAGGGACAGCCATCAAGATTGCAGATACAAGTGCGGAGCTTGGCCATGGATCGATGAAATCCCATGAGCCCTTCCAGGGAGCTTGTTCATGTTTGACTTCTTAAATTCAGCGTTCTTGCAGCAAGCCTTTCAACCACGTACACCTTTCCGAGGTGAAGAAAGGGCCTCCAAGATGGTTTTGCAGACTTGGTCAGTCATGGTCTAATTCTCAAAGACTTGACACTCTGGAGCACAGTATGCAGAAGTATGCAGGAAGTACCGTATGTAGAAGTGCTGGTTTGATCAAGAGAGTGCTGGTTTTTGTCGAGAAGTGCTGGACCTTAGAGTTGGCCGGTCGACCCCGACCGCGAGGCTTGCAGCAGTGCTCCCGAGCATGTGCAAGGACTGCACCCAGCGATGTGCTGTGAAGCCCATCCAATGGGCCTGGGCCCCAAAGGAGTGCGGTTCTGCACCAAACGCAACTCAATCTCTTAAGGTATCAGAGATACAATCATATATGCAAGTTCCAGGGTGTTCAGTACATCCCGTTCGTTAGTGGAATGAATGATGTGTTACAAAGCTTTACAAAGAATATTCGGTGACATGTGCGGGAAGAGGATGTATATACTTGATACATGGGTTTCCCAAGAGCTACAACAAGTTGGCATTGGGTCAATGCTTGATACCATGAACATCCATCAACTATCGTGAGAGTCGATAGATTCCGATAGATGGCAAGAAGGGTGTTGAGCCTCACGATGTGGTTCCAATGGCTCCAGGCTGACAACTTGGCAGTGCCAATTCCATCATCTGGAGGATGTGTCTATATCAGCAAGGTCTTGCAGCGCAGACGAAAGGATCAGTCAGTGGGTGTTTGAAACGTCACCCTAAGAATTTGCGAACGGGTAGGAATTAGTGAAGTTGCTGGAAGCTTTGTAGACATGAGGTGTAAACCTTTGGCCGCGTAAGTTATGCGACATGATTTGGATACTGTCATTAGTTTCTTACCAGTCCCTTTCACAATCTTTGATTTTTGCTGATCACGTGTTGTATCTACGTGCAACTGCGCAAAGGCGGTGTGCTTGTTTGTACTGGAAACCACTCTTTGCACCCTGGTTGCAGTTTCCTCCGAACGTGGACCGGGTGCATGCCTCTTGGTACCTGTAGAAGACTCAGCGCTTAGGAGCGATCTCAGTTCACAGTCTGTGCTTTTGCCTGTGAGATCACAGAGTGCCTGGATTTGGCTGCCACGTCAAAGTGAGCCGGACCTTGTCATACTGAGACACTAAAAGAGAGTGCATCAATGCATCAACCTGTTGAAGCAGATGCAATATCTCCTACACTTGAATGCGACTGGCAGTCTTTAGCTTGTTTGATGTGTTTGAGATGTCATAACCAGTGAGCTCAAAGGCATTTGGACCTTTCTGTGTTCATTTTCCTGCTTCTGGGCATAGTATTTGTGCGGCCCTCAGCTGGACCAAGATTCGTCAGTGCATAAAGAAAAGCCTTGGTGCTCCTCCGCAGGAGAATTATACGTTGATCCTCTGAATTCTTCTGGTGTTGCTGCCCCTTATTCTGATAGACCTGTGACGCACTGATGCACGGTATTTGTTTGTGCTTCCTTTGTGCTTTGAGGTCTTCGCCTGGAAGCCTTTGCGAGAAAGCGTAGCATTTCACGCTGGCTTAGGAGGTCATCGTGGGCATCCTTAAACTCTTTTGCATTTGCCCAAAAAAAACTTACAGTCTTATGACTTATGCTGTTGAAAGCAGCGGAACATTGTAATATTTAGCAAGAGCCTGTCTCAACGTTTCTGAAGCTTTCCTTTTGTTCTTCGGCAGTGTTCATATCCAGGAGTTGGTTCATTGATTTTCATCACGCTGATGGTGGTGGCCTCAAAAGTTTCCTAGTTAAATGCGCACTCTCACTAGAGGTCACTACTATATATATAATTATTAACCGGGGTTGAAAGGCGTTCCTGGTGAGCAGTTTCTTGTTCTTAGTCTATGCATGGAGCAATTTTTCTAAAGTCATTTCATAGTTTTTCCAGCACCAGGTGCTGCTTTGGCTGTCAAGGAGTGTGCGGGGCACTCTTCATGGCAGTGTGCCATTTGGTCGTTCAGTCTTGTCGCTCAGTGCACAGACCAGAGCCATTTCTGATTGGTGCGTATGCACCCATGGTACCATGGTACACCTGTATGCAGGATGTAATGTAATTATTTGTCTAAATCGTTAATCAGGCTACTTGAGCATTGATTGAGCTCTTCTCTATAATGAGTAGAGGGGAATTCGGAATACATGCTTCTCTAGGTTGACGCTCAGTTTTTTGCCGACTGCTCACCCAGTTAACGACTCTTCTAGCTGGAGCACTGGCGTTTATTCCTGCAGCTCGAAATGCCAGAGACCCAGTGCAAGTCAAAACTCAACAGCAAACAGCCTTGGAATATATAAGCCAAACATTTTCTCTAAGGCGTTGTTGGCTTGGACATTGAGGTGGCTTCCTGTTTCGGCCTCGGGTTTTCCTTAGCAAGTACAGAAAACCGAGGGAGCTTCTCGATTCTTGATGGTTTGAAAAAAGGTATATCTTTGATCTTTGGCTTTCTGACTGATTGCTAGCCTAGTAAACGAACAACTTCCTGAAAACGAGTTGGCTTCGGGCTGTCCCCGTGTACGTTGTCACCTGAGGCTCCCAACTGGCAGTCTTGGCTTGGATCTGCACTTAGAGCATGAGGAAAACTAGGGATCAACCCCACTCAGGCGTTGCGCGTGTTGAAGGTCGACATGTGTTCAAAATGTCGGTGTGTTTTTGAACATCGATTGGCAAACGTTCCGCGACATCCTGTACTGCCAGCTGCGGACACATTGGATCAGCTGCGGGTTCACAGAACGACACTGGCCGGCAACCATTTTTCATGGATTTCCAGCAACTATTTGCTAACCACAACATTATTGTAATTGCCGCAATTGCCTAACCCCAGCGTGAATGTTTGTAATGTCGCCTTGCAAAAATGGACAACCCCCACGTCTAATCATTAACGTCATTATCCCACCCCAACACCCCCCAACTACCTTCTAACAGAATGTATCACATGCAACATTAAGGTCATTGTCCCACTCGAACCCCCCAACCACTCCCCAACTACTTTCTGACAATACGTTTCTGCACAGTCTGCGACTCCCCGGTGGGGCGGTACCCGAAAACTACTGTGGGGATCTGTGGGGGCTCTTCTTGGAGAGCTGATGTTTATCATGTATCATGTTACGGCAGGCGAGAACGTCGTTACGGAATGTCTTGGAGAGCTTGTCAGTCTCGGTTCATCTCAGATCCACTTTCAAGGTCTAAAGGACCCAATCTTCGATTTGCCAATAGGCTGGGTGGCTTGTGACACTGGGGATCTCTTTTCAAGGGGAATATGGAGGAATCAGAAACATACACAAGCACACTGAAGCTATGCTTTGCAACTGATCCTTGTGACCTTGTGCCTTCGGACTCCACATGAATTCCTTGAGTGGTTGGGTTCTTTTTATTTGAAGCCTGTCCACTGTTGGATGGGTGGTCTGGCCCCCTAAACTGCACAGGTTGGCTGGCCTTTCTCCTGGTCATTGTCAGCTGCCTCGTGCTAGTACACCTAGGCCCGCTCAAGCTTTGGAGCCTTGGATGTGGTTGCATAGGACCAATTCCTTGGTTGACATGTTTTTCAAAACGCTGCTGCCGCATTTGCATTGGTTTTGTTTTTGCCATAGACTCTGTAAAGGTGCCAAGCTCAGTGTCCGGTACTTCGCTGCATCGCCTGAGCCTGAAGGCTGTCATTCCTCCGTTGCAAGGGGCAAGGAGTCATTTGTTTTTGGGAAACAATAATAATAATACTATGAAACTGTAACTAGTGTGTTCTGCCCTGGAATAATAGATGTACTTCAGAAATCTTCAGACATATTATTTCTTGCCTTAGTCCAGAAGTCTGGCAACTGGTCAGACTGGTCGATGCAGGGGACATTGACTTCATCATCGGCGGAGATGGCCGCAGGGTAGACTTACTGCCACCAGTGCCTGTCTCGCAGAGGCAAGGACGCAGGGATCCAGGTTGGTAGACTAATGTACAATCACGTATGCGTAGCAGTGGGCATTTTTTGGATGCAGGTGATTGGTGTTGAATGTTTTGAGATTTTATTTTTTTTTTGTGCGCCAAAGCAGGATGCTTGGATGGGGAATCTGGCTCCTGGGTGTCAGCTTCCTCCTTTGCAGCTGGACTCTCAGCAAATCCACGTACTGCCTCGACATGAGCATTGTGCCTTCATTCGTGATTTTCCGGGGCCACCCCCGTGTTTCAATCCTTGTATTGACTGCAATCACAACTCCAACATTTGTTTGCTACCAGAGCTAGCTTGGAAAGTGTGAAATTCATCGACACACCGGAGACTTTAATCACACCAAGGTACACATTCTGACACGTGCTCGCTGCTTATCACGCTAGTTGTTCTCTTCAAGGCGGGAGTAAGTTTGAGGGATCCATGGGAAAAGCGGTAAAGGCGCAGCAAAGGCAGCAAACAGACATGGAAGACAAAGAGGAAGGGGAGAAAGAGGCAAGGGGAAGGCAAGACGACGAAGACGAGGATGATTAGTGGTAGGAATTTGAATGTACGTACCCCAATGGTTTGCTGGCCAGATGAGTTTTCTATTTGCTGACCATCTATTGTAATGAGTCCAGTTCCATGGCTTTGTGTCTGAGGATTACATCGAGCATGTGGTACGCATGTGGATGATGTGGAGAAGTGTTGTGCAGGGCTGAGTTGCAAAGTGCGATTCACTCAGCTGCGCGGGGCTTTCAGGGGATCCAAATGGACGAAACGCGGTTGGTCTGAGAGATTTGGCGCTTTTGTTGGGAGAGGGGATGTCCAAGTCTCACTAAGGATGTGCAACCCAAGGATATCCGCAGCCTCATCTCTAGCGATGAGATGCATTCACAGGCCTGTCCCTGAGCTTGTGAGGGATTTGATACCACTCCATTTGAACAAAGATGATTCAGAAATATTCAGGGGACTCAGATTTGTGTCTGATTTGACAAATGGCACCTTTTTCTGCTTTCCTGCCTGCCATGCATTTCATGCTTTGTTGGTTTGCCACGGTTTGCCCACGAAAGAAACAGGCCTCCGCCACAACCAAAGCTGCGCTGGCCCAACTACAGCAATATGTCAAGGCAGGGAATCCACTGCTCCAGGGACTCCAGGGCAATTTTGGTTTGGCCAGGTTGGGCTTCAACCAGGTTCTACCTGTTGTCATGCTTGACACTTGTCATGTTGTCATGCTTCAGTTGTTTGAACCGCTCCAGGAACATCCGCGAGCGGTGCTCCAAGTGCGAGAGGAGTTTAGACGTGCGGTCGCTATGTGTGGGTCTTTCAAAGATTGGGAACCGTGCTTGCCTCGTTGGGGTTGATAGCTGGGCATGTGAAGTTGCCACAAACAACTATCTGTGGAACACGCTGTTGCTTTTCGTTGCAGGACTCCGAGCTGAAACTGCGTCGTTTCAGAGAGGATGGGTCGCCCTTGGCATGATTGCCTTGCGATGCGGGGAGCGTTGGTCGCTGGTTCCAATGCTGCATTTTTGGGATATGCATAGCCTCCAGACATATACTTGCAGGCAGCATCAGGCAGCAGTGTACTTCAGCTGTTCAATGCTGAGTCATTGGCTCATTTGAGACTCGCGATCCTGTGAAGATCCCATTTCCTCTGGCCCTGTGTCTCTAAAGTCAATCCCTCGGGTGCCGAATGGTGCTGGGCAAACTACTTGGGAACAAACCACGTGAACAAAACCTTTGACTTCCAGCAAGCAAGCGGAGGATGGGCCCTTGGAGGACGACTGTACAACCTGTCGGTCTTCGACTCCCCATGTATGTTGGAGGGAGGGTGGTGCCTTTGTAAGCTTGGCTCAAAGCCTCTTTTCATCAACTTCCCTTTTTCCTTGGCAGCATGACAGGGCCCACTTCAGACAGCCTTTGATATCGGTTCGGCTCCTGAAGCTGTGACTTCAAATGTGAAGCCCCAAAAGAAATTCACAAGCTGCAAGAAACTGTTGAAAAAGAAAGGCAGTTGAACTGATAGACTTCAATGACTTCTACTGGACCTTTGCCGGACTGCAGGGAACTTTGTATTTTCTATAATGTGAAGATTGAGCTTCCTGATTTCGCAGATGCGATTGAGGTCTCGGAGAATTCCTCGTCCTTGTGCTTAGTTCAGTAGTGGCTCAGAAGTGTGGTGGGATGAACGCGAAGCTTCACCAGGACGAGCCCGAGAAACAGTGGGCAGCTTGCTTGGTCGTTCAAGGATGTTCAAGGCTCAAGGCAACTTTGCATTACGGATGCTTAGGAGGCTCATTGTCGAAGCACTCCTTCATAGTATGATTCATATCATACTGTCCTTCAATTAGATGTTGAATTACCCACAAAGTGGAAGAGGGTAGAACATCTCGAGCTCGCTTTTGTGATTAGATGACACCAGGGGGTCCAGTGGTATCCAGTCGCTTGGCCCCAGGGAAGTTGCCAACTTCTAGCGAAAATTAGGAATTTTGGCACTCCGTTGCAGCCGCTCCACGGGTTCAGCATGAGATTGTTCAAAAGAGCAGCTGACTAGGTACCGTCACTGAGTGCAACAAAAAGTACCGATATTGGTTGTTCGATCACCGTGGCTGCCGAACCTTGTACAGCTGGCAAGTGGCTCAACGTTTCGCTGGACGGACCTCTGAACAGCGAAGGAAAACAAGGCATCGCTCGTCGCACACACTTTTGCCTCCCTTTCGAACATGAAAACATCGATCCGATGGCTTGGGTTTGCTTCTGACAGCAAATTGAGCGTTTGCTTGCAGCGGGCGATGGACTACCCAACATATAACACTCTCTGGAGATGACTGGCGTTTGCTGGCTTTTCAGCTTGGTTTCACCTGAATCCACTACTGGGTATGACAACCGTCGAAGAGCAGGAGATTTACAGTACGGAACAGTACGGATATGTTCACTATTGTTCACTTGTTTCAGGGTTGAAGTAGCACAGACCTAGCACCGAACGGACGAACGACTACAGCACAAACGAACACCAGAAGGGAGATCAGCCACTGGCTTGATTTGCAGCCTTTCTGTGCCATATGACATGATGTGCACAATCTCCAATCAGCTTGCCCTAATTATGAAGACTCTGACGACTCTGAATCAAGCTTGGCACTTGAGTCGAGGTTTTCTCAAAGCATTACCCACTACTTCTAAGATCTAAGAACAAGGCACCAAGTGACTTGGGGCTGTCCGGGCCCCTTTGCACGACGCGCTGGTGCCATGGGTTGCGGAGCGAGCCATGCAGTGGTGCCCTTGCAGGCGTCACGGTCGCAGGGTGTAGCTGTAGCAAGCAATGGGTGCGATCTAGGCATTCATACTGGGTGGTGTACTCGTTGCATCTCGTAGCTTGATCCTGACTTACTATATAAAACATAAATACTCACTTTGTCATGATCTTGGATGACTTTTCACATAGTTGCGCAACAGCCCGAGAGCTGCTAGGATCCGCCAGAGAGCAGTGTGACGGCTCCGGCGAAGGTGCCGTTTGCAGTCATTGTTCAGTCCATTCGACATCGTAAGACGAAGCTGACAAAGTCCCAGCTGTTTTGACGTTTTGACCCAAGTAGACAGTGGATTTCGACTTCTCCCCCGACTGTTTTGCCCCAAGTAGACAGTATCACCCTTTGCATCTTCTTGCTGTCCAACTTGTGAAACTGTATCTCCAGTGACATGGTACCGCCTATATATATATTATATAGAGTACAGGCCGAAGTCGGCACAGATGCAGGCGAGGGCGCAGTGACGGCGAAGCGATTCTGTAGTATATACAACTCGTACACTTGAAAGCAGATAAAACACAAACACAAGATGCAAAAGAAAGACATGCAATGAGGGGACAGACATATGCAGCGTTGACGCAGCTATATAATGCTTATTTATATTAACTATATACCTTGACTGATGACCCGTGTGTCAACGACTACAAAGACACCTGCAACATACCTTCTGACTCATGACAAGCTGTTTTTAGACTGGAAGGAGTCGATTGTTTGGGGCAGATATGGCAATTTGACATTGAATGATAATACCTGCATAGACCTGATGATCCACTCAGGATGTTCGTAGCAGGTAGACCCCGCAAGTATCTCCGTGCTGTTGGATTTTGCAACTGCCTCGCTGCTTCTTTTGGTGCTTGCCACAGGTGTTTGTGTCAAACCAGATAGGCGCGACTGAACGAGCTAAACGTAGAGCTCCGCATTTTCGGCTGTTGGGCAATGGGGAAGACATCGCTAGTTCTCTCAAACCAAACGCCGTGGAGTATATACAGTAACCATTTTAGTTTCTTCATGAACATTTTTAAAGTTGACCGCCAGGTCGACTGGCAAAGCTGTGGGCAAGGAGGACTCGAGTTGGGTTCCCCTCTCACCATTGTACACCAGATGCAACAGTAAGAACACGAAGTCCAGAGCCTTCCCACTCCTTTATTTATTGTACTTTATTTTACGTATGAGAGAATTCCATGCAAATTCAAGCCGGGTGGTCTGGCTTGGCTGCTGGCTTTGGAGCTTTCTTCCAGGCACCATCGGCGCCAACACCGCTTAGCGGCGGTGTGAGAGTTCTGCAGTTGGAGGAGTTTGAGCAGTTGGATCTCCTGGATGCCGCTGGGCGGTCAAACAACCACATTTGGATGTTGAAACATGTTGAGGCACCATTTGTTGAAGTAAGTAACATTGTAGGTGACAAATGGTGACAAGAGTTTGATGTTTCCAAAGAAATCTTGATTTGGTGCAACCACACGTCCATTGTTGAACTGGCTAAGTGGCATCGTACAGTCTCGTCCTCCATTGACACCTTCCGAGGAGACACCGATGTCAGCGGTTTTTCGCTTGCGCCATAGGCCGAGCCTTGTGGAGTTGGTGTTTCGCTGCCTCATTGGTGACTTTCGTTTGATCAGACACTCAGACATCTATAAAACATATTCTCATATATTCTCTATCTTCTCAGTTTTTAAAGCAGTTGGGCATTCTCAGACTTACGTCCCTCATGTCCTATTGACATCTATACACAATTAGGTGGATGTGTGTGGACTGGACTTATTGGACACATTGTTCGATAATTGCCCAAATCTCGCTTGGAAAATAGCATTCGAAACCATTCCTGAATGTTAGAAGTTTCTTGCTTTGATTCCACCCTCCAGGCGAACAGGGCTGACCGTTGCTGGCAAGAGAATTCAGAAGGGATGTGAAGTGCATCGCTCTGGTGACTACATCAATGAAGCTCGGCACTATCCAAGCAAGTAGCTGCACTTTCTGGGGGTTAAACTGTTTTCACGAAGGACGTGTTTTTGAGAACCACATTGTCGCTTCTGCAAGCAAGATGAGAAAAGAACACATCTGCACCAACATGAGGCCAGCTTTGGTGAGGTTCCGACTTTCGTCCCAGGAAGTGAAAATGCTTCAGAAGCTTAGCAAGGCGCCATATGTGGTGAGACTGCATGGCAGCCCAACTGCAAATATATGTGACGAAAGGGACCATGGACCGCGAACATCACAGTGGTACGTTTTGTGACACTATTCCGTGTTGCTTGGTGGCGCACGATTTGTGATCATCCCTGGATGTGGGCAGATGCCTCAACCTGTGAACATGTGCCAGCAAAGATGAGCAAAAGCATGCAAAAGCATACTGTAAGATCTGTAAGGCAATAGAACCATTCTTCTTTTTGACAACGTCTGCGTGATGTCGACATGACATGACCACCATCACCACCATCCGATGAACGGCCCTAGAGGTGTGTGCGACACCGACACGGACTTCTGGACGGTCCTGGAGCTTTGTGCGGGGGGACGACTGGCGGTGTTCTTGGAGAAGTTCCCTCGGAAGGCCGACCCAGTGGCCCTGCAGCTCTGCCAGGCGAGTGGTTTCACCGGGTGGTGCATTCAACGATATTCAATGCAGTCCGAAAATCCGACACATTCCGAAACCATGTCATTCAAATCTGTAACAATTGGCATGTCAAGAAATAATATCGCACACTTCTTTCTGAGATTGATAGCCTGACAGCCTTCTTCTGGTTCTGGGCCACTTCTCCCTGAAAGGCAGTTCAGCAATTGTACCTTAGCTGCGCCAAGCGTCTCCGTCTCCTTGTCCTGACAGATTGAGTCGCGTTGTTGAGCTCGCGGCATGAATATAATACATGTATATATACTGTATATCTCGCCAGGTTCACCAGCATTCATTCTCGCTTGATTTCATGTAGTATTTGGTGGCTGAGGCATTCAAAGCTAGTGGTCCATCTTGATCTCAAGCCCGACAATGTCCTCCTCTCTGGTGAAGGAGTGCTTAGAGTTCAGACAAATCAAAGGCTTCAAACATCTTGAAACATCGAGGCAGATGCGTGGTCGTTCTGTGTTGAACGCTTAGCAAGTCGCTCGGGAGGCAATTGTGCCAATTGATCCACATCGCCAATAGAAGGGTTTTGCAAATCCTTGTGCGTAAAGCCTTTGATTGGTGGGTGCTGTTGTTCCACGTCTTTCTTCGAATTGTCACCGAAGTCGAAGGAGATGTGCGCCTCTGCGACTTTGTCACCTCGTGCGAGCTCCAGGATGCCTCCTGACCTGAAACTTTCATTTGTTGTGCAGACAAACCGTTTCTAGATCCTTTTTGAGTCGAAAGCTAACACTCTCCTCCAACATGCTTGCAGCATCTTGCAGCTTTGTGGTCTGCATATAGGTTTCCTGGTTTCCTGTTTCTTTTTTAGTTACTTTAGTTCTTTTTTGCTGTTTGTTCATTGGCTTTACGTCAGGTGTAATCACGCACATACAGGCTTCATGTCTCCAATGTTGTGTGGACATGTATGGAATATGTGTTTGTCCTCAGTCAGAGGATGTCGCCACCTGTTGGTTAGACATGGAATCTGAGACGTGCAGGGCAAACCACTTGCATCAATCTTGCATCCAATGGGGCGCACGCGGCGCACGTGTTTTTAATCTCAGATGAGTTTGCTGAGGCGAGACAGCTAATGATGGGCAAATGTGGCACCCCACATTTCCGAGCTCCTGAAGTGGAGGGCGGAGGCGTGCGTTTTGATGAGGGAATGGCAGAAGGGGATTCAAGAGGTGCCGACAGGACCGACTGCAGATGATCCAACCAGTGCAAAGAAACCAGATGCATCCAGATGCCCCTATGGTCCATGGATGTCCATGGTCTTTGTTGCCGAGCTCAGGGTTGGCGCTTGGGGGCGTGCAGCACTCATCCATGGTCGAAACCACGGGTCAATTCTCAGGGTCCATGTTGGTCTGCAGGGGGGTACCAATGAAATTGCAGAACAGTTAAGGTCGCTCCCCGCTTCATGCTGTGCAGAACTGCTTCACGTCTCTTTGCTGCTCTCCCACTCCCCGTTTCCTATCCAAGTCCGAGCCAAGGAAGATCAACTGCAATCCTTTTCTATTCTTGACCAACTGATTCAGCTTCACAAGCAAACACTTGTTTTGCAGGTCAATCATGACAACTGCATGCTCTTCTTTGTGCTTGCGCTTTAAGGGTGGGTGTACACTTTACATGATGTTCTGAAGGTTGTAGATGGTATCATTTATAAGGTAGTGAATATCGAACGCTAGATCCACCTTCACATGCACCTTCGAACCACAGAGAGTTTGTTTGATGTCAGTGCCTTCCTCGATGTAGCTGATTCTCATCTGTAAAGCACGTGTAACGATCCAGTCAGTCAAACTTTGTATGCTGGACATTGAACCCCTGAAATAAAAGTTTCGATCATTGGCGCAGTGTGAAGGTGCTTTCAACGGCCTGAAGGCGGACGTGTATTCCCTGGGCCGAACTTTGCAAGTTGTGAAGGAGGACCAATTCCTTGTTTGTGGATCCAAATTCAGAGTCTGGTAGGGAAGCGTGTTTCTTTTTGAGTTCGAGTTTGCATGAATTCGCTTGGTTGGCCAAAAAATCATCCACTCAATGATGGACATGCAAGACAGCAACAGAGATATGCCCTGGAGTGCTACTGAAAGGATGCAAATATTCAATGTTCTTGTAGATCAAACAACATTTCATCAAGCTGAACGCCATGCAGTGTGAATTGGGTGGAGCGTTGCAGGAACTACAGTCAGCAAGACACACGCTTTGTTCCGAACCACGGCAAGCATCCATGTGGGTCCATCCTCCTTGGAGGACGAAGTACTGTAGCATTTGAAACATCCCCAAAAACAGTCTTCTCACTGAAGCAGACAAATAGAAACATATATAGAAACATACAATACAATTGAGCGAGGCGTTTTCAGTCTCACTTGCGGTAATTGGTGTGTTTTCAATTTTCCTCGGATTGCGCTGAAAGAACCTGTGCCATACCCAGGCAACGTTGAGATTTGCAGATTGGATCAATACTAAAGATCCCAACAAATATCATCAGGCTGCTATGCTGTTCGTTTGTTTTGCAAGTCAACGGCGGTCTCGTCGGGTGACTGAGGAGATGTTGGAGGTGATCTCTCACATGACGAATGAAGATCCATTGAAGCGACCTGGAATCGTAGAGGTGGTGAACTTCTTGAAGGGCCGGGCCCTTGGGGTGCGTAAGACATGGCAAGACACCCTTTTGTTGGGGGATGGTGGGTTGCAATGTATGAGCTGGTGACATACCAGCACACAGTCGGCTCGACTTGAATGCGCCAGACACGCATGATGCAGAATGGGCCACCCATGTAGGGTGGCCAATTCCCTCTCCACTCACACGAGGAGGGAGCGCCTCCCTTCTGAAGATGGATTGGGTTTCTTTGGACTCTGGGCTGCAAAGGGAGCGCCTGAGTGTCATTCAAGTGTTCTTGGACCTGTGCTCAGGAGTCAGTGCGGTGCGACGAGCTGGGTGCAAGCAAAGTCGTAGACCCAGATGCTGTAAGCTTTTTCAGCGTGTGAATCTGGTGATCATGACAGCGAAGTAGCAGAGAAGCCGCAATCTTGTGAGAAAGTGCGAGCTGGCTGCTAGCTCGGCCACATCTGAATGAGGCTCATGTGCCCAGCATGAGCATCATGAGCCCACTGCAGCAGTCCAAGTCCAAGGCATCAGTCAGAATGCGTGCAGTCGGTGTGGAAATATGTCCAATATGATCCAATCACTGACAATTTTCACGAAGGTGAAATTGTCCGTTTGCCCTGGAGGCCCTTGAGTAAATCAAAACTTTAACCTTGAAAGATTTGACTGCTGGATGAGACAGACTCATGGCGGAACGTTGTGGAATGCATGCTTTCTCAGTGTTGGGTTTGGTGAGTCTTGACGAGGCGTGAGTACATTTTTCTGACGGCCAAGCGCCAAGCGCCTCACGCCAAAAAAGTGAATCACACAATCATGTTGCCTGGCAGGTGGTGTGCGCAAGCAACTACTGCCAACGCTTGGGTGCTTGCCTTTGCCATGACAAAGTGCCAAGATCATCCACGCTCATGAGCCCTCAGGCCCGTGAATTCAATGATTATTGGGATTCTTTAGGGGAAATTTCATGGATATCCATAAATAAAAATCACATCTTTTGAACAACAAATGATATTCAAAGAATATATCATTAATATAGATGGCAATGAATCTTTCAATGAATGCAGGAACGAAGAGAACGATTACGAAGATGCAATACTCCCTAAAATATAAATATATAACAATTAATTAATAATATTAATATAATATATTATATTTAGAATTTTAAATAAAAAAGATTATAAATATTCTTTGAATATCGATATTGATATAATGAATTTTATAAGAAATATGTATATTTAATATAATTGTTTATTTATATTTATTTTGTTTAATAATATATTTATTTTGTTTAATAATATAAATTGGAATACGATCGAATAGATATATACGGATTTTTGAAATAAAATAATCGAAATAATTGGATTATTTATTATATTTTGGTTTTTCTATTTTTAATTTTGGTTGTTTTATATATATTTGTTTTATATATTCCGTCGCGGTCCGGTTTTTTAAATTTTTTAAATAAATAGATTATTTTATATATTTCGATTTTTTTATATAAAGAATAATTCAATTATTTTATATATGTTATTTTTGTTTCGGAATATGTATTATTAAATAATTTTACGTTCCGATATCGTCGATTGCGCATTCGAATTCCATATAGCATATTGCAAATAAATTATGATTTATTTCGAATTTATTCGTAACGATCGATTTTGGATTTATATTTTATATTTCGCTTTTATATATTTATGGAATATTTCTTGGACGCGTGCGTTAGCATTTTCCTTTCTAATGTTCGGATATATGCGTCGTACATTACTAGAATATAAATTCATTATAAATATAATATTTATATTTGATATTTTGATAGAATGCATTTGTGTGTTATTATTATATCGATTAAATAAAAAATTATTTGATGTTTTGAAAGATTTTTTTCCGTTTGTTTGGCAACATTGTATTGATTTATTTTCGATCTGCATCTTTTGATATAACATATGTGCATTATTCATTCTGGCTTGTTGTAATTACACTGGTCATTTATTCTATGTTTTGAATGACCTTCTGTTCGAGTTGCCTTTTGCAACTTTAAGAAAAGGTTTTGGCATTGTTGGCAAATGCGAGATAATTTTGCGCAAATTAGCATAATTAGATTATACGGTGCTTTTTGTAAGCATCATGGACATCTGCACAATATTATCTGTAAATTGGAGACAATTTCTATTATGAAAAGAAAGAAATTTCTTTACTAGCACGCAAAATTGATGGTGCCCTAATCAGCTCGATTTTCAATTCTTTACCATAGTAGTCCTGTTGCTGCAACCATTTTGCCACTTGCGTGTGGCTCGGCAGAGGCGTAACTGCTTCCGGGGGTCAGAATCTTGAAGTCATAAATAATCGAAATAATGCTAGGCACGGTATATATTCGCGACATCAATTTTGTTTTCCAAAATTTTCAAAGTAATGCAAACATTTTCGGTTCTCATGGTCTGGAAAATCGGAGTTTTTTCTACCGATCGTTTGCACTGTTTTTTTGTATGCCTTTCTGTTTTTTACCGTGGGTTTATCCACGAATTTTGCGGTTGGGTTGGAAGGCGAAGCTAAAGCCCAGGGAGATTGCTACCTTGCCCTTGCAGGAGGTCCCAGCTGAAAACATACAATCCAATAGCTTATCAAATATATGCTAAAATATTATAATCTGTATGGTATATTTGTATATTATATTTAGGAATATGCTATCCGCATGGTGCCTCAGACCTCTCGAACAAGGGACCGAGTTTAGCGTAATTCTGGACGGATTTGGGCTGGATTCTGAATGGCTGGTTTGGAATGATATCTGGACGTCCTGTTACCCCTGTTGCCGTGCCCGCCCTTGGCTGGCTGCAGGCAACTTGGCGGGTCGCACTCGCATCGCATGCGGCATGTTGCCATTGCACTGCTGACTTTGACCTCCAGAATCTTAATTCACGATCATCACTGGGAGACCGTCGAACTGTGCGGCTCTATGCTGACACTGGCTTGTGCATATGTGGTGCTTTCGGGTGGTCGTGGCATCTGTCGCTTGCTGCGCGACCGCCTACATGACACATCGGCAAGGACACCACCGGCTTGGTGCATCGCATATCTGGCCACGATCGACTCGGACATGGTATGGGGACAGACGGCAGGTGTTCCTCGGAATACGCATGCAGAACATTTTAAGCCAACAGATGAGATGCCAGACATTGCACCCGAGCCTGATGATGACGACGGTGACATTGGTCCAGAGCTTCAACGGTGGGATATCAGCCGACGCCCGGGCCGTGTTGCAGAGCATCGGGGAATCGATCCTCAACCTCGTTGAACAATCCATGGCTTGCAAAGCGGCCAATCACAACGGCTGGCGTCCCTGCAACCTTTGGTCTTTTCAGGAGCTCGGGCTGCATGGCAACGGATCAGCCGGGAAAATTTGACAAAAGCAACTGCAGCAAAGTCCATATATTTGTTTCCGGATCAGGGCCTTAGTATGAAGGTGCTGCTGGACAGGATCGGCGAACTTTGGGTGGATGGCGGCTTTGGCACTCGAGACCAATTCTTGAAATCTATAGCCCAGTGCCTCGACTACCTGGCGCAACGCTCTGCGATCTGTGACACTGACCTATGTCCTGCTCGCCATCCGCCACAAA